CCTATCTGGAAATGTTTCCTGAATTCATTGTTTTAATAAACATATAAAAGCCACTACGCTAAAGAGAATAATAAATAGGGAGAGGCTAATAAAAACAAATACAAAATAAATACAGTATGTGTTATATCTATTATATTTAATGAATTAACTGCTGACAGTCTCACTGTGTATTGGCACACCTTATAAAAAAGAAATTTTACTGCTTTCATTCCTAAAATCATTTTTGCAATTATTATTATTGTTATTTATATAGTATCAACATTTCCTGTGTGTCTGTACAAACAAATTGTTACAAACAAGGTTGCATAATAGATATAATAATTATTAAGATATTAATTATATAATGTGTTAATAAAGAATAAATAATAAAACCCTTTTAGTCAAAGACAAGATATATATCAAGACATGCTCAGACAAGCTTACTAGCATAGAAAGATATCTTTGGCCAAATCATTTTATTATCTAAAGAGATGTTTTAGTGGGCATTTGAAAGTGTGAACTGTGCTGGAGAGTTTTGAAAAGGGATTTCATAGGAGAGATGCACATTGAGGGAGAGAAGGTTGCATCCAAAGTTTGCAATAGGAGTACTATCTTGAAATCAATGAGGAACATATGTAAAATCCAGTCAGTGGAGGGACTCACAGAGGAGTAACACAAGAAAATAAAGGTAGATAAATCAAGCAATTGAATTACAGGATTGCCTGCTGTTGGTCCAATATTATCATCAGTACCCTCAACAGTAAAGTTGGGACATGATGAAGGTACACTAGCAATGCACTAGCATTTTAGGCCCAACTGGCCAAGTACCATTTCTCTATGTTGATGAGAACAAGGGATTCTTCCCCAAATCCCTGGCCCAGTGGATGTGGGGGCTGCAGTGGGAAAACTTATCAGAATCTGGAAGCCCCCTTTAAAATAAGGTGGCCCCCAGACACCACCATCTCCCACATAAAGGGTACATGGCTCCCCTCACTTAATGACTGACAATTTTTTAAAGGTGTGTGTATTTTTCTTAAATTTTTATGTGGAGAGGGGGGCATTTGCATTAGGTCATACCAGTTACATGTCCCCAAAATAACTGCCCAGCTTCCTATGTCCTTTGTTTGATCTGGGGATCCCTGTTCTGTTTTTACAACGAAAAGTCATTTACCATTCAACAATTTAAATGTTTTTTTTTTTCTTTGCAAATATCACTTTTTTTTAGTTTATCATACAAATGCACCATTTCACAGATAGAATTAAGGCACTTCCCAACCATGTTGTTTAACGCTCTAATCACACCTATGCAGTTTGCTTTTTGTCCGTTTGCTGTGCTTTCCGCAGTTCATTTTGCGTTTTTCTACTACACGTGTTTTTGACGTGTTTTACGTATTGTTCAGCTCTTTTTTTTTTTTTTTTTTTAAAGTGGACTTTTTTTTTGTTGCTGGACAGAATAAAAATGCAAAACCCAAAATGTGGAAAAATATGGCCATAACGTGCTGCCATGCATCTCAACAGATTCTGCATTGAAATCTATTGTAGCAAAAACACTGCTTTTTGTTTTTAAAAAAGTCCCTGACCCTTTCCAAAAATGCAGCAGCTCAAAAAAGCATAAATGTACACATGTTCCATAGGAAACCATGTGAAATGGACTGCACTAAAGCACAAAAAAATGCATTGGTGTAAACAGAGCCTTAAGGAATTGTGCATTTTTAAAGCTGAACTTTACCCATAACAGCTTGGCAAAAAATAATGTTCTTTAGCAAGGAACATACATTCCACATTAATAATTACACTACCAAAATCAGTGTGTGCTGTAAATTGCCTTCAGCATTGGTCCTGTTTCTTCTTGCTGGAGGTTGCCATTTTGCTGAAGCCCAGAGCCCCTGAGCAGCAGTTAAGCTTTAAACTGTCAGCAGAACGGCCTCTAGTGGCTCTGATTTTTGGCACAGTGCTGATAAATAGAGAGCAACTGAACATATGCAGAGCAGGGTGACACAGTGTATTACTGGATTATAAACAGTATAGGCACATATTTTTTAAGTTTTACATACTGTTGCTATACCTGCAAAGAGGCCAGCTCAGTATGGAGATCTGATCCCAATAAGTGCAATTTACCTCTATATCTGAGGTATAGGATCTAGTGAGTGCTCACTCAAAGTGACAAGTCTCTCTCTGGAGGAATTTCTATTTTTTGGATCGCACACCCAGTTTGTATTGGTGGTTAAGATTGGACTTTTTTATTGCAAGTTAGGTGAACAGACTTTGAAGAACCTGCTTAGTTCATTTACATTTTTCATGATTGGACTTTCACTGTGTTGGGTTTTTTTACTACAATGTTGAACATTTATTTCAAAATATGATCAAAGAGGATTGTTCACTGTATAGGATACACTAGATCATTTGAGGTTTATTTTAGTTTTTGGCACTGCAATTACACATATAATTTTAGTTTAGGATTCAAGTAAATCCTTACTTATTGTCAAATGCTTTTTAAAATTAGTACTAGTTATTAGCACTACTAATATTGTTTATCAGATCGCTAAAATCATGCAGGTGAAGGAATAAGTTATTAATAGTTTGATAGAGCAGGAATGCCCAGGGCATTTTAAGGAACTTAGAGTTGACTAGTTGTGTGCAAATGGTTTATACACTAAGCCACGCCAACAGGTCCACTAGATACTTCCAGAATCCTCTCTATAGTTATGTCAAAAATTCCACATTTCAACATTTAAGCTTGTTCCTTGTGACTTGAAATTTAAGATGGATCACTCTGCTTCTGTCTTCCATTCTTCCTACCATAACTAGCATTTACTATATATACAGGGTAGCAGGGTTGGCAGAACCACACAACTAAACCCCGAGCACTTGGTGTATAGCGAGTCTAGCGAGACTGCTAGCACTGCATTTAACTCTCTGACAATGACTTGCTCCACACCATGCCAGCTGTGCCAGTCAAGTATTATCCAACATGAAGCTGCATGCATAGTTCTAGCTCTAGGTCACTCAGAAGACCTAGGAGAAACTGGCTTGAGAACTCTGACAATCTCTTGCATCAATAAATAATGATCCCCTACTGCCAATCAATGCAACGGCCCTAATTCCAACAAAATGGGCACAGACCTGTAGTTCAAACCACTGACACAGACCATTGATCACCAATGAAATGGACACAGATCACTGAGCACCAACAAAAGGAACAAGACCACTTAGTATCAATGTAATAAGGAGCACCAACTACTAAGGACAAATATAATAAGGTGCAGTGACCACTAAAAACCAATGTAAGAAAGCACTTTCTCCTAACTGCTCTACTCCATAGTCCTAACCCTAGCCCTTTGACTATTGCACTGTATACACTGTAATGTCTGTTACATAGTCCTGGACTCCTGACTCCTATTCATCTTACTCCATATTGTATGTCACATAGTCCTGACTGCTGCACTCCATCTGCTGTTGTATACTCCATAGTCCTGGCCACTGCAGTGTAAAGACTGTGCTGTATGTTACACAGAACAGACCCCTGCAGTATATATCCTATATTGCACATTACATAGTACTGACCATTGTACTGTAAAGGCTGTGTAGTACAATACACAGTCCTTACCACTACACTGTATACAACTGTACTGACTGAACCGTGTACAAACAGTACTGTACTGTCAACAGCTGTACACTGCATACAAAGCTGTACGTGTTGTACATTATACAGTTCAGACCCCTGCACTGTGTATGCTGTGTTGTACATTACATAGTCCTGACCATTGCATTGTATATACTATGTTGTATGTTACATTGTCTTTACCACAGCACTGTATATGCTTTGTTGTACATCAAACAATACTGTATGTAACACCATAACATATTGTATATTACCTACTCTTGAGCCCAGCACTCTATGTCCTATATTGCATATTACATAGCCCTGACTGCCGCAGTGTATACGCTATGTTGTATATTACATATTTCTTACCACTCTCTGTGCTCAGTGCTAAGGTATTGTATATATGAAATCAGCAAAGTGAACCTCCACTGACAGGATTTGATTAAAACATGTACCTGCACCTGGTTCTCAGCTATATAAAATATAAGAAGTTTAAGATGACTGTATTTTCCAAGACAGTTTAAGGATGTGAAATGACACAGTTATTAAAATGTCAATTAGCAGTAAAAATGTACGAGTAAGTGAAAAACGTTGTCAGAGAAAATTAGAAGCAAAATTAGTAAACCACCACGTTTATTTAAGGATGCTTTTTCCTGAATAACAAAACTGAAGTTATAATTAAGGATTTAGAAGAGGACCCTGCTAGTGTTTAAATTTGAATTGAATTTCATGCATATAAATAGGGGTATATTATTATAGCAGTGAATGTCACAATCACCATATATTCACTGATGGTGATTTCAGTGCTTTAACACTTTGAATGACAATTGTACGGTCATGCAACACTGTACCCAAACTGAACTTTTATCATTTTGTTCACACAACTAGAGCTTTCTTTTGGTGGTATTTAATCACCACTGGGGTTTTTATTTTTTGCTAAATTAACAAAAAAAGACCGAACAAAAAATTGTGAAAAAAAAAACGTGTTTGTTTCTGTTTATAACATTTAGCAAACAAATAATTGTTTTTCAAATTTAGGCCAAGATATATTTGCTACATTTCTTTGGTGAAAATAACTCAAAAATCAGTATTATTTAGTCTGTATGAAAAGTTATAAAGTCCACATACTATGGTATATCTGAAAATTGATCAATCCTGAAGTATTGCAACACATGAAAAAATGCGCTGTTCATATGAAAAAAATATATATGTGCAAACTAAAATTCATTATGTTGTTGAATAATGTGAAATTAATAATACAAATATCTCATACAAAATATATACCATTAAATAATAAATGATACACAAATGAACTTGAATGTATATACCATATTTTTTTTCATAAGACACACCTGAACATATGACGCACCTAGATTTTAGAGGAGGAAAACAAGAAAAAAAAAATTCTGAACCAATGGACTTCAGACATTACAGGATATGACTAGAGGGACATAGTCAGGAGATGACCAGAGACTGCAGACCTACTACAGGAGATTTGTACAGGAGATGACGGAGACTGCAGACATAGTACAGTAGATGACCAGAGACTGCGGACTCAGTACAGGAGATAACCAGAGACTGCGGATATACTACAGGAGATAAATTTACAGAAATCCCCCTGCGCTCCACAGAACCTGTGAGTTAGCTGCTATCACCTATTCTCTATACCGCAAGATATGTGCAAACAAATTATATAAATGGTGAAGCGCTCAACTTAAATAGAAGTGAAAATTATCTCATACCTAAATAAATTCCAAATATGCAAACTCAATAATATACATCCCTGGTGGTATAGTGATGAACAACTCTTGAGCTGTGCAAATATACAAAAAAAATAATCGATATAAATGAAAAAACTGGATATATGGATTATACGTCCCTGGTGGTATAGTGATGAACAACTAATACCTCTTGAGCTGTGCAAAGTGATACTTTATATCCAATTAATTAAAACAATTAAATAAAATATTAATTCAAAATCAATTGTGATGCCACACTGTGCAAAATCATAAAAAAGTGTTCAAATGACGATGCTGCAATTGTGCTCTTCGTGAAAAATCTTGACGTGACTCCCCTCAATAATAGCCAAAGTGCCCCTCACACCTTCCACATTCGACCCTTGCGGGTCACAAAAGCATTTATATATATATATATATATATATATATATATAATATATCTCTGCCAGGTGTTTTTCTCCTCCACTGCCTCCACCGACCCAATCAAGATCCTCCTCCAGGCAATGGGTTCCACTCAAATAACTCCCCTCACAATACGGACTCAGACACAGGGCGCATATGCAAGAAAAAGCAGACCTCCATAGTGCAACACTGTTTTAATGCACTCAGAGATATATAAAAAATGCACTCACATATCCTCCAACAGAGAGAAGCAGTTCCCCATGTGCTATGGGTATTCAGGTGTACAAAGATGGCGTCCGACCCGGAACCGGAAGTACGTCACCCCTATGAAATTTGCGCCACGATCGTGGCTTCTTCAGGATCCTGAAGAAGCCACGTTATGGTGGCATGCGTCGACGTATTTCGGTCATAGGGGTGACGACTTCCGGTTCCGGGTTCGGACGCCATCTTTGTACACCTGAATATACCCAGCACATGGGAACTGCTTCTCTCTGTTGGAGGATATTTGAGTGCATTTTTTTATATATCTCTAACAGAGAGAAGCAGTTCCCCATGTGCTATGGGTATATTGAGGTGTACAAAGATGGCGTCCAAACCCGGAACCGGAAGTACGTCACCCCTTAGACCGGAAATACGTCGACGCGAATCACGTGGCTTCTTCAGGATACCTGAAGAAGCCACGTGATCATGGCGCAACGCGTCGACGTATTTCCGGTCATAGGGGTGACGTACTTCCGGTTCCGGGTTCGGACGCCATCTTTGTACACCTGAATATACCCATTAGCACACGGGGAACTGTTTCTCTCTGTTGGAGGATATGTGAGTGCATTTTTTTATATATCTCTGAGTGCATTAAAACAGTGTTGCACTATGGAGGTCTGCTTTTTCTTGCATATGCGCCCTGTGTCTGAGTCCGTATTGTGAGGGAAGTTATTTGAGTGGAACCCATTGCCTGGAGGAGGATCTTGATTGGGTCGGTGGAGGCAGTGGAGGAGAAAAACACCTGGCAGAGATATATTATATATATATATAAAGCTTTGTGACCCGCAAGGGTCGAATGTGGAAGGTGAGGGGGCACTTTGGCTATTATGAGGGGAGTCACGTCAAGATTTTCACGAAGAGCACAATTGCAGCATGGAGTGACGTCATTTGAACACTTTTTATGATTTTGCACAGTGTGGCATCACAATTGATTTTGAATTAAATATTTTATTTAATTGTTTTAATTAATTGGATATAAGTATCACTTTGCACAGCTCAAGAGGTATTAGTTGTTCATCACTATACCACCAGGGACGTATAATCCATATATGGGGATATTGCACTAGTTTTTTTCATTTATATCGATTATTTTTTTGTATATTTGCACAGCTCAAGAGTTGTTCATCACTATACCACCAGGGATGTATAATTCATATGTGGGGATATTGCACCATTTTTTTCATTTATATTGATTATTGAGTTTGCATATTTGGAATTTATTTAGGTATGAGATAATTTTCACTTCTATTTAAGTTGAGCGCTTCACCATTTATATAATTTTGTTTATACTACAGGAGATGACCAAAGAATGCAGACCTACTACAGGACATGACCAGAGACTGCGGCCATAGTAACAGGAGATGACCAGAGACTGCGAACATACTACAGGAGATTACCAGAGACTGTGGACACAGTACAACAGATGACCAGAGACTGTGGACATACTACAGGAGATGGACCAGAGACTGCAGACAGTACAGGAGATGACCAGAGACTGCGGACATAGTACAGGAGATGACCAGAGACTGCGGACACAGTACAGCAGATGACCAGAGACTGCGGACACAGTACAGCAGATGACCAGAGACTGCGGACATAATACAGGAGATGACCAGAGACTGTGGACAGTACAGGAGATGACCAGAGACTGCGAACATACTACAGGAGATTACCAGAGACTGTGGACACAGTACAGGAGATGACCAGGGACTGCGGACATACTACAGGAGATGACCAGAGACTGTGGACGTGGTATAGGAGATGACCAGAGACTGCGGACATAGTACAGGAGATGACCAGAGACTGCGGACATAGTACAGGGAATGACCAGGGACTGCAGACATAATACAGGAGATGACCAGACACTGCGGACATAGTATAGGAGATTACCAGAGACTGTGGACATAGAAGAGGTTTTATTTGCCCTCTGTATAGTCCTAGATATAGTCCACAAGAGCCTCCATATTGGAGCATACAATAAATAGCAATAGACACATTAAGGGAAGTTCTGTCTGAAGGCAGCCCCTTCCTTTTTAAAGGCCCAAGGACACACCAGAAGCCCAGAAGAGTGCAAAAGCAGCTGAAGGCATCTAATGTATTATTCCAGCAAGCTAAACAAACGTAGCCACCCCAATTTATAATTGACTTTTATAGTAAGGTGTGCATGGAAGGTCATTGCACACACCCAGAAAAAAAATCCAAAACAAATTACACTTCTATTTGACACAAAAGATAATGGACTAAATGTGTATTTTGGGTTTTTCAAATCACCATTAAACAGATTTATAAACCCCCTTACCTCTGTGACTGTTACTCCCCCACTCCCGCTCCCTGCCTTACCTCACTAAATACCTAAGATTAAATACCATTGCTGCATGTGCTTGTGTTTCCATCTTTCTTTTCTTGCATTTTTTTTTCTCACAAATTGCCTTACCTAACATTCTGCTAAAACGTTATGTATTAGTACTGCTTAGACCTTGAAGAAGGGGAAACACTCCGAAAGTTTGTCCTGAAAATTTGGATGTTAGTGCAAATAAAAAAGTATCACGTACAGTACTCAATTGTTCTTGTTGTAGCTTACACTAATACAACTACAATCACCTCAAGCACTGTCTATAAAACACAGGTTTTAGTTGTGTGACATTAGCAAATATATGTGGAAGCTGCATTGCTATACAGTATATGCTCCAATGTGGAGGCTTTCCTAGACTAATGATCATAAGCGAAATCTCCTGCGCTCAAGGACTCAGGCGGGTGGCGAATAGATGGAACCAGACCTGGAAAGATCGACTACCAATGCATGTAGTGTTGTGCAGCTCCAAATAAGGCTGGGGAAGCCCGACCAATACTGAAAATCGAAACAAAAACGAGAAGCGCACCAACCTTGCGCATTACCTCAGCAACCAAAGTTTATTAATTGTAAAATAATACTCACAAACAGCGAATAAAATCAGGCATATAGGTCCTCAAAGGGACCTGAAAAGTCTACTTTTTAGGTCCCTTTGAGGACCTATATGCCTGATTTTATTCGCTGTTTGTGAGTATTATTTTACAATGAATAAACTTTGGTTACTGAGGTAATGCGCAAGGTTGGTGCGCTTCTCATTTTTGTTTCGATTTTCCTAGACTAATATTAGGACTGCACTATGCAGAGGGGTCTTGAAAAGGCAGTGCAGTCATTGTGCTTTGCTGGGCTTCTGGTGTGTCTCTGTGTTTTTTAAAGTGGTAGTAAACCTTTAAAAAAAAAAAAAAATTGCCCCTGCAAGGCAATATCATACTGTGCTAGTATGCTTTGCATACTAGCACATTATGAAATAATTACCATAAAATTAAGCCCCCCAGTGGCACGTTGTCATCGCTGACAGGGCTTCCATCTTCACCCAATCTTCCATCCAGATTCATGGGCTCCGGCCCCGGGCATGGCACAGATATGCTGTTCCTTCAGAGTGTATGTGCCAGGCATATCACTGGCTGCTGCTAGCTGGAACAATAAAACGGTGCACGTTTAGGAGATAATCATTTTACCTATGGGTAAGCGTTATTATAAGCTTACCTGTAGGTAAAAATCAGCATACAGTGTTTACTACCACTTTAAGGAGGAATGGGCTGCCTGTAGGCATACAGTACTTGCCCTTAATGTATTAATTGCAATCAGTCCTCCAACATGGAGAATCTCATAAAGTAGAATTAGAACTGCACTTTACAGACAACCTTGACAAGGCAGTACTCCTTCCACATATATTTAAAAATGTTCTACAACTATTCTGCAACTACGGTTTAATGCAAATGATTAGACGGTGTAAATAGTTTTTTTTTTCTATTGCTGGATAGCTGGTAAGTATACTGGAAATATAATTTTGTTTTGTTTGCTCTGTGTAAAGCCTAACCATTTGCATCTCACTGTAAAAGCTTGGGGAAATTACCATTTTATTTATCTTTCTGCACCCCTCCACTCCACACCTCTTCATATGGCGTGAACGGGCACTTTGAAAACCACTGTTTTCTATACTGTATGCCTTTGTGGAGATCTGTACAGAAAAATGCAGGTCTCCCACATGGTGTGAATGACCCTGAGAATCGCTCATGTGTATATTCTATTCTGAAATGACAGATATCAAATTCTGTTAAGACCCTGCATTTTATAGCTGCTACTGATACTTAACCACAGCTGTAAATGTTGCCCTTCTTTGGTACTAGCTTTTTTTTTCCCCATAAATATTTTATTACAGAAAGAGTTAATAGAAGTCAAGGACATGGGTTCTCATACAGAAGTGTACAGAAAACATAATATATCAACAAAGAGATCAAACAGTATGTGCATATACAATCAAAGAACAAAGGAAATCTCTCGCCTTGACTGTGTAACAGTCTTTACTACCATTTTACAATCTGTATAGATTTATGGAAAAGCATTTTATTTGGTGGTTTCTTAAATAATTCCAGTTTCTAATGATATCTTTTTCTAAATGTGAAAAAACTAGAACAGCCAGGAAATAGGCAACAGTCCAGGAAGACCATTTTGACTGCCAGAACTGTATGGGTTTTCTCCATAGTAGTGTCTTTTCTTAGTTTTGGTCTTGTTCATTTAACCACTTGCCCTCCAAAGGATTTACCCCCCTTCCTGACCAGGCCATTTTTTGCTATACAACGCTTTGTTACTTTAACAGACAATTGTGCGGTCATGCAAATAAAAATATAAATGAAATTTATGCCCTTTATTCCCACAAATAGAGCTTTCTTTTGGTGGTATTTGATCACCTGTGAGTTTTTTCTTTTTTGTGCTATAAACAAATTTTGAAAAAAATACCTATATTTTTCACTTTTTGCTATAAAACATATCCAATAAAGACATTTAAAATATCAAATTTCATCATAAATTTAAGCCAAAATATATTCTGCTACATGACTTTGCTAAAAAAAATCCCAATACGTGTAAACTAATTGGTTTATGTGAAAGTTATAGCGTCTACAAATGGCAGTATATATACTGGAATAAAAAAAAAAATTTATACTAGTAATGGCGAGACTTATAGAGGAACTGCGGGACTGCAGGACTGTGGAAGGCATTCTGACACTGGGTGGGAACTGACTAACTGCCACTGACATCCCCAGTGACATTACTACAGTGATCAGTGCTAATAAAAAGCACTGACACTGTAATAATGACACTGGGCAGGAGGAAGTTAACTTTTGGGTGATCAAAGGGTTAACTGTTAGCTGTTTGTGTTTTACTATGTATGCTGTGTGCTGTTTTACTACAGAAACATGCTGCTTTGTATTTCTCTGCTGTGCTGAGAAATACAAAGCAGCATGTCCTTGTTGGCTGGAGAGAGACCTGTGTTGTTTACACAGAGGTCTTTCCCCTGTCAGCTTTACTTAGCGATTGCCAGGTGCTGGCAGGGAATCTCCGGCCGGGACCTGGAGATTGACATCCTTAGCTGCCAATGGTAGCACGGGTAGGGCGGCTTGTGCCCCCTACCCAGAAATGCAAATCACGTATATATGTGTGATTTTGCACAGCCCTGCCATCCTGTAGCAGTAGTTCCACTATAGGGCAGCGGGCAAGCGGTTAATCAGAGTTAGTGCAACTATAACAATATAGCTACATTACAACATACCACAAATCCTTAGGGGCAGACTGGCTGTGTACTAAACGCATTTTGTCGTGTTGCTTGAAACAACCCTATATGATTAAGCAGTAATGTCAACTGACAAGAGCAAAGCAACCTGTCCACTGCTATTGTGGGGTTTATAATGAAGAAATGTATGTTTTTTCTCTGTGTATAACATGGCCAATATGTTCTAGAGTGTAGGACTCTAATGGACCCACTTAAAAGAGCTATTAAGAGTAAGGTGAGGTGAACCAAGAGAAACCAAAAAGCCCCTCCTTAGACTTAGGCTTGGTTCACATCTCTGCGGGTGGTGCTGCTGCAGATCTGCATGAAAATCAGGGCAGCCGCACCACCAGCACAGAGGAATGCGAACCTGCGGGCGGGTGTCATTTGTTCTAATGGCATGCCGCCCGCACTGGAAAACGCAACCGTACTGGGAACCGAGGTTGCCGTGCAGGCTGAGTTTTCAGAAGAAGTGCAGGGACTTCTTCCCTGCGTGTCCCGGGGCACGGGAGTCCATTCAAATTAATGGACTCTCGTGCGCGCACGCAAAAAGCGGCCCACCTGGCCGCATATATGTGAACCAGGGCTTAATGCACATTATTGTATTTAAAATAGAATATTTACATATTACTACATATTACCATTGAAAATAAAAGGGTTATTTTTCAGTTAAGATTATTGGCCATTCATTTCAGATTCAGTAGACACGTGCAGTATAGTACATAACTCCTGGCATAAGTATAGCTGGCCTCTAGGCATAGATTGTAACACTTTGGCTTCCAAAACAATTCCATTTAAATATGGCAAATGGCAAGAATACATAATCCTAAAATACATAATGAGCTCTGAATATTAAATATAATTATATATGTGTGCAGGCATTTTTTTTCTAGCTTTGGAAATCTAAATCATTAATTTTCCTTATTCAGCTTCTATTGAGATTTTAGTCTTTTTTAAGCTCCCTCATGTGGGTGAGCCACAACGAATGTGAATGCAAGGTGTGTCAGTGAACC